TTGCTCCGCTGGCTGCGCGAGGCCGCATGATTGATGACTTTTCAATATGGCAACCGCACCAGCCACAAATGTAAATACTGCCCTCGTCCTTATCGCGCACCCACAAAGGCCCACCCCAGCCTTTCAGATAGACCGCCGACTTTCATGGCATCAAGTTAAGCACTCAATCGTGGATTACATGCGTTTTATTTATGATTTTCCTTGCTGGTATTACGGAATGTTTGCCTTTGGCTTACTTTTATTGTCATTTATTGTCGGTTTCGGATCTGCGTTCCCGAGGGAGGGTTTCGATTTTTGCTTTTACTTTTCCCTTCGCCTGACGGGTTTTTTGCGCTACAACTTCGGCCGGGCAACTTTTCTATGCACAACTTTTGCTGCCAAGTGGCAACATTTAATTGCTCAGAAAAATATTTTCCAAAAAATCAAAAACGATGGAGACGAAATAATAAAAATGTTGTCAATTGTTGTATTTTATGATGTTGCTCAAAAGTTTTCGGCAGAGGGGAGATTTCGGACCGGCACTCGAGCAATTTGTTGTATTTTGGATTTTGTTGTCAGCTGACGTCTAGTTAAAAACTTTCTATACTTTTCAGGGAACAGGTCTGTGATGGGAGGGGTCCGTCTCTCTTACTCGTGGGGTATGCTTGATATTTCGTTTTTAAATTGGTAAAAACAATATAAATAGTAGGGGCGGTATTAAAGGAACCAGGGCACTGTTGTGATCGGTAACTAGTAACTAACATTTCTGTAGGTCTTTGCAAACATACTGAAAATGAACCATAGCTTTTCACTCTGAAACACAACATTTTGACTGCAGCACCACGAAAACGCAGCTTTGAAAACACCCCACATTCAAAAGGCTCATTTAGACTGGCACGAACGAAATATTTACATCGGAGTAGAGAATGCTGTGTGAAAAAATTACCATTTGACCCAACGGATGTGTGCCAAAAATTCAGCAGAAAAAATGAAAATTTTAATGGTAACCATCAAAGCGTAGGGCCGATTAAAGCGCATTAAGGCTTTAACTACCGAGCTCGTTCCTTCCAGTTTCTGGTAGTTCTTTCTATCTCTTTGCCTCGTCTGTGTGTGGGAGTCTTTTATTTTTATTCGCGTCAATCGTCGGGTAAAGAGGTATATTGAGGTTTTGGAAAAGTGTGTAGCAGAGAAAACAAGGGTTCCATTAAAACTATGTTTTAATTCAAATAACATTACAGGGTAGTTGATCTAGCTATATGTAGTGCATTAAATCCCTAATCACGAAAACATTTCTTAAAGAAAAGATTAAGGACTTGAAATACTTGTTTTTATATTAATATAAGAGTGCAAAATATTTGGCAACGGAGCCGAGAGTAACTGGTATCTCAAAGTCGACTACAGCCTTCTTTCTTGTTTTGGTTGCTTTTCTGTTTCTCGGCGGCGATTGCGGATTTCTATGCTGATGTTTGTTGTTTGCTCGCTGCACTTAATGTAATTAATTTTAATTAAAATCCAGCGGGGACGTGAACAAAAAATTTGCCACAGTAATGAGCACCGGAGTCCGTCCATCCGTCCGTCCGACTGACTGAGTGTCGAATGGTGAACTTGCGTCGCCCCACCTCCCCTCCCCGGGCCACTCGCATATCTTTTCGCGCCTGCAGAGTCGAGAAGAAAAAAGGTAGCCTGCTTTTCAGCGCTCCTTTCGTGGGTTAAGCGCAAATAGCAACAGACACTGCTGAATGGCCGAGGGTGTGTGGGTGTGTGGGTGATGGGTGTGGGTGTGGGTGTGGGCGGTGGGTGTGCGGGTGTGCGGGTGGCTGCGGTGGTGCAGCCAGTGTTTGGATACTGCTGGCCCGTAAATTCACATTACATCTACGATGAAGCGCTTGGTAAACATTTTAAAGTTGCCATTTAAATTATGTACTCCGCTCTCGGATGTTGCACTTTCCAAGCGGAATCGGTGGGAGGATTGAAAGGGCTTACAATGGAAAATGTTTACAAATAGTTAAGCAAATACGATTGCAAATGATGCCACATGTGTTGAGCCAGGTCATCAGAGCCATGGCGTTCAAATACGCATTTCCATCTGATTGAAAAAATACAGTGGTTTTTAGCAATATTTTTATATTAACTCAGAACTAAATATTTTTTTATCATTGCCCGTTCACAGTGCCACCAAAATTCGTTTTAATAACAAAAAATCCATAAACTTCAAAGAGAATTTAAAATAATAAGAGAGAAGTTTAATAAAATATTGGTTTTCTTTTCACCATTTTCCAAAGACAACAATTATAATTGATTAAGAATAAAGCAGATTTTTATGTTGGGAAACAAAATATTAGTAAACATTTTAGCTCTTTAATTTTTCTAGTTTCGCAGGGCGTTTCACTTTTACGCAACTTCCCACAAAATCCCTCCAAAGACCCGTAGTGCACATAGATGCCCATATGCGACAGACAATAGACACTCCCACCCAGGCGAGTCTTGCACGCCCCATATTGACAATGTGAGTGTGGGTCTGTTGCACCTGGTGGGCTCTAAAGTCCTTTCTCTGCTCTTCGCCTTTTTAACAGGCAGCTGCGTTGCACTTTTTGTTGGCCGCCTTCTGTGCTATAAACAAATAAATTCTTTTTCCACAGCCACCCATCCACGTACATATTTACCCCACGTTGGCTCTGGTTCTCTGTGTTTGCCTAGACATTGCATTTTTACCTTCTATACAGATTCACGCGCTGTTGCACAAAGCAAAGTCGGCGTTTCCTGCCGCCCCCATTTTCCACCTTCTGTCAAGGCTCAATTGCTGGGCTACGTTTCGCTGGCTCCTCGAGTTTCCCATGCGAGCAGCGCATGGCTGGAAAATGCGAGCTGCAAAATGCGGCGCGTCAAACAAATAGAAAAATGTTGCACGTGGCTGGGAAAATTAAAATAAATCAGAGTCGGCAAAGCAGAGCACTGACTGGCTTAAAGACGTGCCAAAAGTTTAAGCAATAAAAGTGGGCTAGGCAAGTGTTTAAAGTAAACAATAGACCTTAAATATAGAATTGACGAATAAAATAAATTAAAATTGTAAAAAGTTGTTTTTGTTTTTTTGAAAAAAAGTGTCCATAAATGGGTTGGAACACCTAGCCTGTCAGAAACCTAAAGTGCATAGATTTTCGCCCGATAAAAATGGCACCGATAGCATTTGCCAGTTTTGAAAGTTCTTATAGCCGATATACATATATAGGTAGGAGGTATGTAAAAGGTATAAGGACCGTATGAAGTACATATATTTTTGGACGCATTTTTTTGACCTGTCAATCTAGCCTGTCCGTATGAACTTCGAGATCTCGAAAATGGTTTTAGGGATTATATTGATACTACGCAAGTTGTATAATACTAATCTTCAAATGACAGATACTGTTGATAGTACTGTTATTTACATTGCCAGTTCGAAACTCAAATGTCTCCCGAAAACAGTGTTAACGGATTGAAGTATGTGCTTCTGCATTGAGTATCTCCTCGCTTCCATTACACACATATTACCTTGAGTGTAGTCCCATAAAATGAATGCTAGTGCGCAGGATAACATTGTAAGAAGCCCTCTGTGCCAAGTTAAAGCTAGTATTTATTTAAATGTATTTAAGACATCCATTAAAGGACAGCCACCGCAACGGAGGCGACGCTAAAGCGACCCTCAAATCCTGTTAACGAGACAGCAGGAGACACAAACACGCCAGAGCAATCACACCCCGCACACCCCTCACACACACGCCACACACACAGGCGACGTACATCCGTCACAGCACAGACACAAACCCGCCGCAGGCGCTAACTAGCGTGGACACAAACACGCAGGACCAACAAGGACAACAACAAAGCGGGAATAGTTTAAGCTGCTGAAGCGTTTGGGGGAGGGGGCAGGGCGTAGGGGCTGAAAACTGAAGAGTTTATAAAATTAACATCGTCATGACATCCAAGCAGACGCCGGCACTGCACTCGGGTCCCGGCCAGGACATTCGGAATATCCTTTGAGCCGTTGTTGCTGCTCCCGCTTTGCATTTGTATGGAGCCAGTCTGATTTATGGGGGGCGTGTGTCTGTGCGAGTGTTTACGTCTCGTGTCGTGTTGGCATTTGTCGTTACAAACTTAATTAATGCCATGTCGGGGAGGGGGTGCCTGTGAGCTCTTGACTTTTGTCGAGCCAGGCAAAAATGTGCAACCAGGACACGCTGTCAGTTTCAGCTGACGTTTGGTGTTTCGGCTACCGGGTCTCGGGTCTCGGGCTCCTCTCGTCCCGGCAACTTCCCGCAGATTAATCGGGAGCGGACTCAGACTCAGAATGGAAATATATTTTTAGAGCATTTGCAATCGTTATTTGGGGATTTAATCAAAGCCATCGCCTGGCAACGCCGCAATCCTTTGGCGAACTCCTGCCGGCTTATGACATCTCCATTCCCCAAAGGCCCCCTTGGGGGCCCACCTCCTCGGGCCTTAATTTCGGTAATGCCATGCTGCTTACCCGGCTGGCAGTTAACTGTTATTGTTTACAGGACTCTCGTCAGGAGCCAGGAGTCCTGGTTGTTTGCCGAGCCGTGCCGAGCTCCTATCCACTTGTTTGCTATTTGACTTAATTTAATGAAAATGTTGCAACCTGCAATTTACAAAACTAACGCCAACAAAACTTGAGATTGTTTGCTCGCTCCTGCTCCTTGAGCCACTACACCGTCTTGGGTCCTCGGCAGATGCTCCTGGGATCCGGGCTCAGTTCTAAGTACACATCGAGAACGCTGCCATCTTTTTGCTGGACGGAGAAGTCAAACAAACGAATGCAAAAGGTTTTTAACTGCCTCAAGTAGTCGCAGAAGTAAAAATGTGCTAAAGTGGCAGAAGACGATGACGGTGATGACGGTGTTTGCCGAAGGGCTGGGCTGAATCTCTCCCCATTATGGTGATTGCACCGGGCGCGGGCTCTGTAGTAATATCATTGAAATTCTTAAGTCATCCATAAATCTGATCATTTCATTCCCTCCGTCTTTCAGTTCTCCACACCGGCTTTGCGGCTCTGAATCCGGCTCTCATTCCCCTCATCTATGCGCAACTAATTTGCAATGATGAGTTATCAGAAAGGTAAGTCGCCAATCAGAGGATACATTCATTACCTTCCTGGCCGTGACACATGCCAAATTGCCGACCATCCATTAGTGCAGGCTCAGATCAAGAATCCATGGGGAGCGCGGGCCAGTCGACATTCGGGGACCTCTTCTGCAGGTCAATCAATTTGTAAGCATGTCGAATACACTTCGAGGCCACGATGCGTACGATTTTTTATGGGATTGCCCCAATCTCTGCCACAATACAATTTACAGTAAATCAGCTAAAAGCAAAATTACGCGGGTCATTCTCAAACAATTTGCTCGACGGGGACAACAAAAGATAAGAATGCGTTCGAGCATTAAAAAGGAACCCAGTCGAACTGAGATACGGATTCGCAGACGAAAAGTTGCAGTTGCTGAGGCGGGTGGCTGCGATACAATCGAACAAAGGACATGCTGCATATTTTCGGGGGTGGCCTGGCCAGTCTGCCAACTAATGAGCTTCCATGAATCGACATGAATTGGATGCCCCATTGAGTATCAGGGAGCGGGACGGCTGATGCGCCCTTCCTGCTAGTTTCAAAATTAATTGCCACCAGTTTTGTGCTGGCCCGGCTAAAAACGCGACGGCTCAGTGGCTTAGGCGGTGCCGGCCGGACAATGTTGGCAATATCCAATGCTGCGCCGTTCAATTAACTTGTGCGACAATCCAATCAAAAGTGTATTAAAGGCCCGTTTACGGGACCATCGCCATAGCCGTTGCCATTCCCGATCCGGGATGCGGCCACGAGGCCATTTTGGAGAGCCAGCCGCTGTCGATAACAGCAATTACATAAATGTTTTTATGGCAAAAGTCCCACGGTGGGTGGGGCATCGCCTATCGCGATGCAAAGTAACCGAGCGCCAGCAATCGGCTGACCAAATGAGATTTAATGGCGCCCGCTGAAACAGCTGCAGCTCAATGTGTCCACAACAAAAAGCACTCTGCAATTAAGGCACACACTCGCATATAACGCATACGACACGTTGGCCGATGGGCTTGGCCGAGGAGTTATTGTCAGGAAGAGCCCTTTCACATTACCAGGCAACGCAATTCAAGTCCTCTGCCTAATTTATATAGCTACTTGTAATATGTAATATTTAATAAAACCGTTCAATAGGTCCTAGAGGCACAGGCCCACACGACACACACATGCTTTCGGTTCGCCCGCCTGAACTCAGGCAATCAGAATTTTTATTTACAGGGCTGAGCGAGGCCTTTCTTGCCTTTGTCTCCCGTCTCCGAAGAAACACGTGCCTGGCTGCCCTCAGCACGAACTACGTAAATAAGCGAAAGCGACGCCCCAGTCCCATCCTTCTGCCTTACTTACTACTAAATCTGGGAGGAAAAAACTTTTCCAATTTTCCCCTTTTTATCGTAAATTACGCACGATTCAATATTTGGCCTTTTTACTGGCTTGTGTTTTGTCTCTGCGTTGTCTGCCTTTTTTCTGCCTGAATAGCTTCAGGAGTGGGTTCAAGGAGCGACTAACTGGTGGATGGGGTCTCTTACTTTGTCCTAGCTATTTTGCTATTTCTTCTGTGTCTCCCTATCGTAAATAAGAAATCTTATACGTGCGTAGGCCTCTCATGAGATACAGTTTAATCCAGCCCCTCACCACCGAACACATCTGCTTTATGAATGGACCAAAAGTTAGTTTCACTTTTGTTCCTGAGCGAGTCGATCCCTCTAATCGAAATTGGCCATGGTTCACAAGTGTAATGATTGTTTTTCCATGCGGGGTAATTTATTTAGCATTATTTATAAAGACGTTACCGAAAGGGAGGGCGAGACTAGATTGTGGAAAGTTCGTCCTATTCATTGTGGTACATACCAGTTCTGTAGTGCACCATAAATGGAATCTATCTTAAATTGAAAGACAAGCACACTTAGCAGTGGACTTATTTATTTTATTTAATTAAATTGTTTTAAAAAGTAATAAACATTGTGTACTAATAAGCTGTACGGCTTCGGCTTTAATTATATAACCGGCTTTAATTATATAAACAAGAGAGAACGTTATGGTCGATGGCATCGAATAGCAGATACCCGTTACTCAGCAAAGGGGAGTGCGAGGGAGATGAAGATATGCATGAATCAAATTGGCAGTTTCCGAGATAGCCCACCACGCCACTCCGCCACCGAGCGTCGATTTCCTTTATTTTTTATAACTTTTTAATGGACGTTCCGATTTGAACATTTTTCGGCATGTTGATGGATATTGATAATCAAAACCAAATTCCATTTACATTTTTACAATCTCTTCAAAAATGTAAGCGCTAGACCGTTTTTAGCGTAATGGGCGCTTGTGGGAAATAAACTTGAGCTGCTCAAGAATCTCTAGAACCTTTATTCTTAGTCCCAACTTTCAAGCTTTTTTTTCTACTTTTCGAGTAATGGCTACAAAAAAAAAATATAATGGCTATATGGTTATGTAGGTATTTATTTTATTTATTGTAATTCCATTCGAACAGTTAGGATTTCAGTATTTGTAATATAAAAGTCGGATTTTCTTACAAGAGTATTCATGTTGATGTATTGCTTAATGTGCATGCTTTATTGATCACAATGTTCTTGAACGTCAATACCTCCGGAGCTGTATCACCTGGAGAGTAAGGAGTCCTGTGTTTTAATAATTCATAACCAAGAATAAAGGATATCTATTGATCAGGACAACGGCTTTCCTTCTAGACTTACATATCATTTGTGACAGTGCCTTTTGATCTGAATATAAATTTTTTTCGGCTGAGTCCCCGTATCAGATTTTTGACTCCTTGGCCAAATAAGCTAAGCTAAGAAAGGAGTCTTCTCTGACAGAAGATAAGCAGAACAAAATTTCAAAAAAGATTCCCGTGGCTGCTACATACAAAATCAAAGCAAGAAAACGACCTCAACACGTATCTCGGGGTTCGTAGGTCCCTTTCCCGGGCTGTTCCCCTTTTGGTCAGGGTCCTGACGACTCGAAACAGATACATATACACACATACATACACTCACTCAGGCAGATAGGCCGTCTGTGTGCGTGGCGCTGCTCTGCGCCCAATTGTATGCAACGGCTTTTGTGTCAAAATTTTTATGCCGTGCATGGCACGCAAACGTGTGCAAAAAAGGAGGAACGATGGAGGAAGTGAATAGTCAAACGTAGACCCAAAAATACAGAGGAACAACAATGGCAGGGGCAGTAAATTGAAAGACCGAAGACACGGAATCGGTAGACCGAAAGGTTGGGGGAACGGAGCCTGTACTAGACGACCAAACTGATTCAATTAAATCAGTCCAATTGAAGCGGCTGACGAAATGTGTGGAGAGTGTGTGCATGGAATATTTAAGCTGCCACAAAGGCCGTCGAGGAGAGAGAACGCACTTACTGCAGCCCAGTTCGAGGCCCTGTTTAAATAAGGGCTTAAAGCAGTCGATCGAAACTTCATCATTATCGCAGGGCCAGCTCTCGCAGCCAAATGTTACCGCCGAAAAAGTTGTCGCATCGCAATTTATACAAATAACTGAACATTTTGTTTGCGCCACACTTGCGCGGGTATTTTTTAATGTCCCGGCACTTTTTGCCGCCTGTCGGCAGCGAAATCAGCGAACCAAGCGCCCAACAACAGCAGCCGCATTTGGAGTCGGCCCTTGTCGACCGGTCGACTGGATCCCGTGACTTTTGTCGCGTATCGTATTAATATCTCAATTTATAGCAATTTATAAAAATATGAAAAACGCTCAAATGGGTGGAAAATTCAGCGGGACTGTGGGGCCTCCCCGGAAATAAAATTTAAATGTGCCTTTTTGTAGTCGATTTCCCACCCCACATCCGCCCACATTTGCATGCCCGCCAGTTGCGCCTAACGAAGCCCCCGGGGAATGCAACTGGATCTCTCCGTTTAAATGGGGATTTGCACTGGCCCGGCTTTAAAAGAGATTCCAATGCAAATTACCATATTCCCCAACTGGGAAACCGCTTCGGCCGCTTCCCTCTCGATGCGGCCCACCGTGCGCCCGGCCAAGAAGGGAAAACTTTTTAGCACCCAGGCATTGGGCTCTGTGTGAAAATCACTCAAAATTGTGTTTAACTAAGCGTAAAAATTATAAGCAAATTAATTTGCGCAAATCACAACAACAGCAGGGCAACAAATACAACAATAGTGGCTGGGCTTGCTGCAGAAACTTTTATGAAACAATCGGGCAAAGGCAGCTCGGTTCCGTCGCTTTCTGGGTTTGGGTAGGAGTTTGGTCTGGGTACGGGTCTGGTTCCACTGGGTCCGCCTGGATCCGGATCCTCCAGATCCCGTCCCGAAACAACTGACGCGGCAACCAGACGAGGCGGGGAGTCCAGGGAGGGAATAACCGACAATTTATCTGCATAAAAGCGCAGTGTGCAACTTTGACGTGGATGTCTGTCTTGATGGGGATTGATGGGTGTGGGCTCGGAAAAACTTTGCTGGCTCTGCCGTTGCAAATTTTGCTCCGTCGAGCTGTTGAGCTGTCCAGGGAGCAGGGAGATTAAAGATTGAACAGGACAGTTATAGGAAATGTTTCAATTATTTCGTTGAATTAGGTAAATCTGAAACAACCCCAATCTCAGCTGCCCCTGCCCCGTTTCACGAATTACAAGTACAATTAAAACTTAGAATCAACAGAATTTCAAGAGCAACATAATTTAAACACCCCCAGTGAAATCATTGCCATCATTAATTTGCTCGCAACAAAAGGCGCTGACTGGAAGTGTCCATTAATGTTCGTGAAAAGGGTCGCTTGGCCAAAGGGGTGGTCTTGGGCAGCCGGGAGATTCTTTAGTAATTTTTAATTGACTTCAATCGGGAAATACTCCGAGAAACTTGTACTGTTGCTTTTCCATTTAGAAAAATCAACAATTAAGGGGCGCGGCCCACCCACTTGAGTCACATGTGCCCAAGGCACCGGAAGCCGCACACGAAGTATCCCAAATTTATGCCTTGACTTGGCAGAGGTCTCATTAGAGGACACAGGGGCGGCTG